TTGCCCTCCCCCCATGGCTGGAGCCTGCCCACAGTTTTAATGTGCCCTGCTCTCCCCACTCCCCCCTCCCAGTCTGGACCCAGCAACTGTTGGGTGCATCCACAGCTGCCAAAATACGGCTGGCAACTTCCAGGTCAGGGGTCCGGGAATGGGGGGCACAGGTGGGGTGTGCTACTGGTGTGGGCTGCAACCAGCACAGAAGCCTGAACTCGGCGGCTGCTGTAGCACACCCTGCACCTGGTGCCGTAACCTGGAAGCTGCTGGCCACATTTGGGCAGCTGGGAGCTGCAGGGTCTAGTCTGGAGCGGGGGTGGGCAGCTGCAGGCAGGTTCATGCTTCCACTTCCATGGCGGTGGCAGCCCCATTCCAGAGAGAGAGAGAGAGAGCAAGCACCCGGCACACCAGAAGCAGCCCTAGCTGCCCAGTACCATATGGCGGCTGAAGCCGCTGCCCATGAGCCAGATTCAATCAGTTGGTGAGCCGGATCTGGCCCATGGGCCATATTTTGTCCACCCCTGCTCTTATAGTTCAAAGGGGCTATGCTTAACTAACTCCTGGGTGCCCATCCATGATGATATTTTTTTGTGACATTAAGTTCTATAAAAGTAAGTGTGGAACAAATTTGAAGTTACATAGCACATGCAGCTAATTTTTCAACAGGTGCTTCACAGCTTTCTGTCCTCTGTCTTAGGAACCAGAGATATATTTCAGTGATCCAAAACAGTTACTGGAGATCTTCACAGATCTAGAGGAACAAAATCTTGCATTGATTCGTGATACTGAAGACTTAGCAGAAATATGGGATGATATCAAACAAACAACAAAATCTATAAAACTAAAAATGTAAGGTTTTTACAGCAGAGAGTTCAGAAGATGTATAAGAACCTCTTCATCATTGGTATTTTGATTACATAATAAGAAATGCAGGTTTCATACATACATTTGTCATTTGGGGGTTGATAGTGGGAAGCCTAGTGAGCTAGTAGCCCCTTGTTCTATATATCCCATTGGCAGGTGATCTATAATCCCTTATCTTAGCGTGTTGAACAGGTGGGCACAAGGAAGCACTATTCCTGCTACCATTCCTTCACCTGTCCTGTGATAGTGGGCATATATCAATGGACAGAGGAAGAAGAGAGGAGGTGGGGCTATGCCTTCATCCTCTTTCACACCAACATCCGCCTGGGGCAAGGTGGCTGATTTTAGAGCTCCCTCGACATGTCAGTATGGAAGTTTCCTTTTCCCTTACTTAAATTACCATTGTCAGCTAAATTAGAGAATATTCTTCACTTTCTGCCCCAAAGGG